TTAATACTCTAACCTACCAAACAGAACTGTAAATATGCTTTAATGTGCCAATTCGCTTTGAACAATTGATCTGAAGTGTTCCACATTTTGCAAATATGGTTTGATTTAGTTTTTTTTTTTTGTTGTTTTTTTTTAATGTGAGATTTAAGGAAGATGGTTGCATGACTGACTGATGTTTGTGTTCTGCCATCTTTTTTGTCGATGTCTTTGTATTGACGAACAATAAAAAATGTCCGGCCGATTGAAGAGAAGCTCCCAAACATCTGTGTCTGGCCTTTAAAGCCCTATTTCTCGTGGGCCCGGTTCCAGGGGTCCATAGAGCCCGTGGCGTTGTTTTTTGGATAACAGAAGGAACCGGGCGGGTGGCTTAGCGGAGAGCTTAGAAAAACTGGGCCGTTTCCTTTTCACGCCGTCCAATGTGAAGCGATGTAATCCTCTCTGTGCGTTAGTGGAATCGAGACGGATCATCAGCGAGAATTTAAAAAGTTTCCAAACTGGAGAGAGACCCTCTGTGGAAATAACTTATTGCTTCTGTGATTTTGGCTGCTGTCGCTACAGCTTTAGGATTATGAGAGTGTGGACTGCAGTTATGCTGTTGCCATGGAAATGGCAATATTGGAATCAAGCCTGTTTTGTTTTTTTTACTTTGGTAAGTTATTCATGTAGAGGCGACATATGCATAGCTGAGCAAGCTTTTACAGTCTGATTACCATCACGACCATTTTTTCTGAGGCTGCAGGACCACAGTTCAGTTCTGTACGTTTCAAACACATTTTAAATTCGATCATTAGCTTTTTTTGTTTGCTTTTTTGACCTCGTCCCAGCATTATGGAAATCTGAGTACCGAGCTCTGTTGAACACATTTGCTTTGCCAAGGGAGGCTTTGTTTGAGAGAATCCCCCCTTTTTTTACCCAGAAACTGCTATATTATTTACCAAACTTAATCCAATCCTTAGTAATAATAATTAATAAAAGCTGAACCTGACAGAGGGACAGGGAAGAAAGAAAAGCAAAGAAAAACAAACCCAAAATGGAGAAAGATCCATTACACAGAGAATAAAAGAACAAAAAAGAAAGATAACAGAACCATATGACTAGCTACTATGTATGAACAAAAGAAACTGTTTCTTGTGGCCAATCCTACAGGATCTCCTGCAAATGGACAAGTTCGATCCCTCGTAATTGATAGCTAAATTCCAACTTCCCACAAGGTTAATCTTCATATTAAGATTGTGAGAACGTGTAAGCGTGTGGAGATGAAAAACACATGGCTGGTTTTTACATGCTAGTGCTTTATTGGAGCTCCAAAAACAGCGTGGCGGCGTGGAGCTACAAGCTTGTTGCTAAATGGCGTGGTAGGTAGACCTGGAGACCTGGAGTGGGGCTAGCTTAGCATGTCTGGCTGCTCCTCTTTACTCAATTCAATTCAATTTTATTTATATAGCGCCACATCACAACAACAGTTGTCTCACAGCTTTCCAAACAGAGCAGGTCAGACCCTACTCTGAAGTTAATTACAGAAACCCAACAATTCCCACCATGAGCAAGCACTAGGCGACACAGGCAAGGAAAAACTTCCTTTTAACAGGCAGAAACCTCGA